GTTTGTGCCTTGTGTGACTAAACGAGGAAGGCTTGTGCTTGTGTGCTTCTATTCCCTTAAATTGCTTGATGTCTTTTTTATTAGCCAGTGAAAATTCTGCTTTGGTCGTCTTGGCCTCAAATTGCATAGCAAGCTGTAGCCATCCCAATACATATTACTTGCCTGGGGCTGGAGCAGTCACTGGATGAGTTAGCCATCATCCATTGGTTAATGAATCCTGACCTCACCACACATCCAATTTCAAGTTTTCAAAAAAAGAAATACTTCTGGACTGATTGCTAATATTAGAAATTAAAACTCAGTGATCTACCAGCTTAGAATTGGGAAAGAAATCCTAAAGAGAGGGTGACCACACTTGGGCAAGAGCAACAAGACAGCTAGAGTGTCATGAGTATATACGAAACTCCAAAGGACAGGGAGACGTATCTAGGGCACGCACACTAGTGAAAGGCAGCAAGAGATCCTGAAGAGACTGTAAAATAGTAGTAGACCAGGCAGAGAGAGGCACATTTCATATTGAGAAAGAAGGAATATGTATTTGTTGTCGAATCAGCCTGTCTTAAAAGCCAAGAAAATTCATTTTTTATTAAAGGGAAAAGTTATGATTGTCTCTAGCCCTAAGTCCACTTTTTACATTTAGTTTTTTTTCTTAGAAAAAAAAAATCCTATACCCTTAAGAATTGAAAACAGCTTGAATAATTATTTTAATCCAATTTCTCATCTAGATAACTCATCCATATAAAATTACTGTCAGGTGCTTTATCCTGCCTCTGCTTTTCTTTCAAGAACTACACTTTAGGCACCACCTCTGCTGGGCACGTGCAGGGTCAGGACACGGGGCTGAGCAAGACACAGTCCTCGCTGTGCAGAGCTGGGAAAAGGGACCAGCTCAAGATGTGCATAGAGTAGCTGGATACAGATTGGGGCTGGCCTAGCCTGTGATGCTTTTATACAGCGAGTGATTTAAAATTGCCCATTTCTCTTATTTCTCTTAAATCTGCCTATCTGGTGACTCCCACTCCTCCTCCCACCCTTTTGGGGGCTAGACTGCACCTTAAGGATTTGAAAATAGTTCTGTGGCTTCCCTCAACTCTTTTCTCAGTCCCTTCATCCACCCCATTGACAGAATTTATTGGCATTTCACTTTTAAACACAGCTTGTCGGGCAGGATCCCTTACAAAACTACTGGTGGTGCTAGAACGAAGTGGAAACACCACGTCCAGCACCGCCCCAACCCCCACCCGTCAGTGTCCTGTAAAGCTCTTACCTCACTTGAGTCAGGACCACATTTGTTAATTTGGGATACGTAAAATAGCTCATTCTTTGTGGTTTTTCCTCCTCTCATTAAATAGCCTTCTTCCTTAAATAATCAGCTGGTGTCTGTGGACTGCAAGAAAGGAAGCAGAGTCCCAGTGGACAGTTCACAGAGAATGCTAAGAATTGCTGAACCAGATGCAAGATTCAGTGGCTTCTACAGCATGCAAAAACAGAACCACCTACAGGCAGATAATTTCTACCAGACAGTGTGAAGAAAGGCGACGTGGATGAGGTTTCAAAAGACAGAAAACGACTAAATCTGCTTTTAAAAGTAAACTAGAATTTGTGCACTTGCTTAGTGGATCGTTTTGGATTGTGACTTGATGTACAGCGCTAAGAACTTACCGGGATGGGCTCTGTCTACGGCAGTGTGCAGAACAAGCATTCCCACTTTCCTCAAGATAACTGACCAAGTGTTTTCATAGAACCAAAGTTTTTAAAGTTGCTAAGATATATTTGCTTGTAATATAGCTGTAGAGATATTTGGGGGTGGGGACAGTGAGTTTGGGGAGACGGGTTGGGAGGGTGGTGTTGGGAAGGCAAATTGGTCAGCTGGGCTCGGGGAGAAATCCAGTAAAATAAAAGCAGTTGAGTGGCCCAGAGGATAATATTTTCCTGTTGCTCTGAAGACTGCACGGGTTGCTTCAAAGCTCAGGCCTGAATGAGCGGGAAACGGAGGCCTTGCGATCCAGCGGCCATAGCCACCTTAGGACTGCCAGACGAGCACGCCAGAACCTGTTGCTAGCCATCCCCGGTCTAAAGCCACGAGTTTCTTTTCTATCCGGTCACGCTGCGGTGGGCGGTGAGCAAGCAGGAGAAATGTGATGCGGCATTTCCCTGCCGCGGGTTATTAAGGATATATACAGTTAGACTTTTTGCTGCTTTGTTTTCTTCCAAGCCAATCAGCCAGTTCCTAGTAGAGTCAGCAAGTGAACAAGACCTAAGTCATTTCTTGATGCGAGCACTGGAGCTTTTCTTACCACAGCGTGGCAGGAAGGAGGGAGAGGGCGAAGGACACCAGGTATTTCCAGGGGCTGTACTTCATTTGTTTGTCGTGGCTTTGTTCCCTTGTTGGTTGTTTATAGTTTTTGTTGAAGCTCTAGCTTAGAAGAAACTTTTTTTAAAAAGGACTGTTTGGGGATTTTTTTTTCCTTATTATATACTGATTCTACAAAATAGAAACTACTTCATTTTAATTGTATATTATTCAAGCACCTTTGTTGAAGCTCAAAAAAAAAGTATGCCTCCTTAAAACTTTAGCAATTATAGGAATATTTATGTAACTATCTTATGCTTCAAAAAAACAAAAGTATTTGTGTGCGTGTGTATATAATATATATATGCATATATATTTATACACATACAATTTATGTTTTCCTGTTGAATGTATTTTTATGAGATTTTAACCAGAACAAAGACAAACAGGCATTCCATATCAATGCTTTTGATCACTTACAAATTTTTAATAACACAAAATTTCATTCTACCTGCAGTTTAATTGGGAAGAAAGTTGTGTGTGTTGAGTGTGTGTGAGTGTGAGTGTGTGTATGCACACGCCTTATGCAGTCAGCATCACACCTGCTTATGGAGAAGGTATTCCTTTATTAAAATCTTCTTCCTTGTTTGGATAGGCTTTCTGTTGGTTTTCAATTTGTTCACTGGCCAGAAACAATGACGGCAGTTTCTCTGCATCACTCATCAGCTCCTGGATTTTTTTTTTTTTTTCAAACAACTGTTTGAAACAACTACTGGAATATTGTCCATAATAAGCTGGAAGTTTGTTGTAGTTTGCCTCAGATATAACTGGCTGTATACTATAGTGTTAACTTTTCAAACAGCTCTTAGCACTTTTATACTAATTACCCATTTGTGCATTGATTTTTCTTTTTCAAATGCTTGTTGTGAAAGACACAGATACCCAGGATGCTTAATGTGAAAGGAAAATGTGTTCTGTTTTGTAGAGGAACTTTCAAGTATTGTTGTAAATACTTGGGACAGAGGTTGCTGAACTTTAAAAAAAAATTAATTTATTATTATAATGACCTAATTTATTAATCTGAAGATGAACCATTTTTTTTGTCTTAGAATATCAAAAGGAAAAGAAAAAGGTGTTCTAGCTGTTTGCATCAAAGAAAAAAGATTTATTATCAAGGGGCAATATTTTTATCTATTTCCAAAATAAATTTGTTAATGATACCATGTTACCAAAATAGATCTACATCAGCCTGATTAGTATAAAATTTTGTCGACAATGAATCCATTCCTGGCATAAAAAAAAATATATATATAGATCAAAAAAAAAGTTGTAAATGCTTGCTTTTTGTTTTTTCAATCATGGCCATATTATGAAAATACTAACAGGATATAGGACGAGGTGTAAATTTTTTTATTATTATTTTAAAGATATGATTTATCCTGAGTGCTGTATCTATTACTCTTTACTTTGGTTCCTGTTGTGCTCTTGTAAAAGAAAAACAAATATAATTTCCTGAAGAATAAAATAGATATATGGCACTTGGAGTGCACTGTAGTTCTACAGTTTGTTTTGTTTTCTTCAAAAAACAAAGCCATAAGGGAATTATTTGCAGCTGGGTTCTTGGCAACAAATAAACACTTTGAATCTCAATTTCAAAAAGGACTGCTTGTCCTTTTGCGTGAAAGTCGTGAGTCTGATGACCGTCCAGCACCCCAAGCAGCTCTGGTGCTGCTCTCAGAGGGCAGGGCCTTTCCCCCCACAAACCCTTGTAAAAAAAAAAAAAAAAAAAAAAAGAATCCCACTCAGGATGGCACTTCGATGCTGCTCCTTAGGGAGATAGCCTACCTGTTGTCCCTCACAAATCAGGAACGTGCTCCTCTCCTCTCATTGGTATCAAAATCCATTCATCATGTGTGCTAGCAAGGTAAGAAACACTGATAGTTCACCACTGAAAAAGCAAGTTTATCAAGCAAAATCAGAAATCTCATTACACAGGGACTGGGAGTTGAAAGGACGTACACTCCAAAAGCATCAACTTAAGCATGAACTATAAACAGACCACTATCGAATCTCCACCAAAATATAGACCCTCAAGGACTTTTGACTCTCTAGTAGGTCTTCTAAAATGATACTTCCTTAGTATAGTCAAAACTTTTTTTTACAAATTTGCATCATTAATTCAGTTGAAGTTACTTTACTGTAGAAGTATGCAACTTCATCAATTGAAGGGCAAGGCGCAAGTCCCACATTCTCACTATCAAGGCAATGATAAGACAAGGAACCAGCTCAGGCTCACCTTTCCCCAGGTCACAGCTGAGCTGCCAAGTTGCCCTCCAACTCCAAACTGAGCTGCTGCCTTTGCAGCCCTGGGGTCCCAGTTACCAAGTGAAATGAGGAATAGGAATGGGCCTGTGTGCTCACAAATGTTTAAGTGGAATTTTAAAGTCCCCTGCCAGGTCCTCTGAACTCTTTCCACACCTCTGTCAGGGAGGGAGCTGCCACTGCCGTCAGGAATGTCTCCCAAACCCAGGAAAAGAGTAAGACTTCCCGGAAAAACCCCTCTCCCCTCTCCTTCCCATCATGAAGCTAATCAATCAGGGGGTTCACCAGCTTCCACACTGTAGTGATGGACAATGTGTAGAATGGTAAAGGGAAGAAAAATCTTAAATACAACAGAAACTCAAAAAAATCTCTCCAACATACAGTACCCTTTTTTCAACATTTATTAAATGGCAATGACTTGACTGGAACTGGCAGAAAAGTGTTTCATGACCAGTGCCGGCTCGATGAGCTGTTTCAAGGAGTAGCGCTTTCGGGAGACACTCGGGCAGGAGTGGGGACAGGGCGCCACAGCAGCGCACAGGATACAGGAAAGCACCTTGGAGGACACAGGCTCCTTGTCAAGGACACTTCTTCACAGACACGTGAGGCAAGACATATAAACATCGAAAGTTCAACAATACAAGGTTCTGAAAGTGAATGGCAACTGAATGGTTAACGTCTCAATAGGGGTGAAAGACGCAGCAACCTCCAATATCAGCCCTCTCCCCACTGGGCCTCCAGGCCTCGGCCTTGGTCATCGAGGCCCTTGGTCATCATCATTGTTGTTCGTAGTTGTCGTCACTGTCATCTGCCATAGCGCACATTCTGGTTCCCCTTCTTCAGAGAACAGCCCACGTTTCAGTTTCTGTCTCCCTTGACAACACTGTAGGTAATATTTATCCTGACAGTCCCTTTATAAAGAACAGCGTCGGTTCTTGCCACCACCGAAGAACAGTTACAGTATAAATCTCTCAATGCTTTAATCTAGTTCTTCAGTGCAGTGCAGATCTAGAAAGCCATAAAAACTCAACTGGGCATACTGTCAGTTCAGGAAAAATATAACTGCGCATGCACAAACATTACTCCCCCTTACTCTACAAAGGTGGAGGAGAGAAGAGTTCATAATTGTTAGTATTTAACAAAAACACACACACACACACACACACACACACACACACACACACACCTCTAGAATTCAGAACAGTGCCATACTTCTCTTGTTCATAATATAAAGAATTAGTGAAAGCATGATCTAGTTAATACTGAATCACAAACCCAAGTTCAAGTGTGCTGAGTTTCCAATAGCAGAAGGGAATGGTAGCCAGGTTTCAGAACAATGCTATAGGAAATCTAGCTTGTAGTCCACAGAAGAGAAAGCTGTTCCTGACGCGGTGCTGCCCTATGTAGGACAGAGCACTAGAGGAAGGAAAAAACTTTTAAATAGAAATGCATATTTTATATGTATTTACACAAGATGTATATACATTTTATATACATTTATATGTATATAAAAATATACTATTAAATCAGGAGAACAAACAATGCAAAGATCTACAGTATCAACTTTTTTTAAAAGGTTTTAAAAGGCTACACATTTTCAACAGTGAAAAGTTCTCTTGACACATCCCAGAAATGAGATACCAAAAGGCCATGTCTCTTAAAATGCCACTTAGAGATAAGAGCCCATAACATTAGACTCATACCATCAGGCTTGTAACACCACAAAGAGGCTCCCCAGGAAGTGAAAGAAGGGTGCAAGTCTCCACACACACATAGCGCAACCCTGTCTACACTACCAGCCTTTGTACAACCTGGAAGGCGAGGTGGCAGCAGGCCACGGTGGGGTAATTAAGCAGGTGTGAGAAAAAGCTCAAGGAGCCCATAGAACATCCATCCCTCCTTTCTCAGGCCAAATGAGGCCACTTTTCTACCTTCTTTCATTTCATACCTCTGCAGTAAAATGAAGCTTGGTATGTTTAGCAGCCAAGCCATAGTCCTTGTTGTTAAAACAACTATGAGGAAGTCCCGCCAAGAAGGCAGAAGGAGAGTTCCTCCTTAAGCAGCTGCACCTTCTATGGGGTGGGGTCCTGCCCCCTATGGTAGAGGAGTTGCTGATGGCTGTGAACTTCCAGGATGGGTGGAAGAGAGCATGTTTGGTCAACCCCTGTCTATATACCCCTCATCCATACCCTCCCCATGCGACTGAACACCTCTGAGCATCACACACGCCCACTCACATGCTCAGACTGCAGAGTCACCACCTTGGTTTGAACCCTAGCTTCTCTTCCACCCAGTCCTCATAAAGCCAAGGCAAAGCAACAACAAATGCACACAAGCAGCTCGTGGGAAGCAGCTATAGTACAGACAGACCTGGCTCACAGGCCTGTGGCACAGAATTAGCAAAGTGCTGCTTCCCGAAGGCATGTGGTACAGGTTCAGTTACAGGCCTGGATTACAGGGGAAAAACTTCAACATCATTCGCCCACAGAGCACTCTGTTCTCTGGATCATAAAATTCTTTCATGCAGTCAGTCAAATGATAAAATAGCCAAAGAATGCTTCAGAAGCTTGTTCAGAGCATCTCTGGTGCTCACAGTAGTGCCCTAGGGACCCCCTATAATTAAGACATGTTCTTTATGTTCATCTCATTCCTGTGTCACATCTATAAGAACAAACCTCAGAACAATCCAGCTTTCATACCAATGCTAGCACAACATAAAAAGCAAACAAAGGTATCAGGTATTAAAAAAGAAAATTCAGAATGTAATAGGAAGAAAAAGCCCTTCATCAGAAGAACACAGCTTACTTAAAAATTCAGTATATTCTTTTCAACCCCCTACCCCTACCCCTAACCTAATGACTGGCTCCACTCCAAGTCTCTTACAGGTGATATTTAGTATATCACTGACTTGGAGCTCCCCATATATTCTACTGAGGTTCTCTCTTCATGAAGCTATGGCTGGAGAAACGTCCCATCTGAGTTATCTAACACCTCAGAAATCCCAACCTTCCTATGATTCAGCCAGCAACTCTGCAGAGAAGAGAGAACCCAAAGGACAATGTTATCAGAAGAGGACTGCTCTCAATACTGGATCACACCCTATAGGGTGCATTTTATGATGCTTGGAATAACTCACCTGAATAACTGCTGCTTTATAAAAAATAATTTCACTGAAAAGTATTAGTTTTGCCTATAATTAAAAAGTTCATCAGTTCCCTCTTTATCTTCCAAATTTTGCTCTTTACTCACCAAAGTAAGTGACCTCATTAACATCTCAAATGACTTTCCTTTACCTCATCACTGTTCCCAACCTGTGATCTTGATCTCGCTAAGATTTATGGCTCATTTTCTACAGTCCCAGTTGATGAAAATCCATTCATTTTCTCCCTCCCCTCCCCATCCCTTACAACTATCCCTTTATTATTCTCTCTGGGACTCTTCACCAATGTGACTCTCCCCTCTTTCATCCATCCTCACAGATCTGTCCTCTTCTTTCTACTGTCCCCAAGATGGCAGAGACCACCCTACCAACCCTTCCAGTGTCAGTGAACACCCCAGACTCACATAATTGTGGGAAGTCTCCATAATATTTCCTCACTGCCTGCCTCCATCCATGCTCACAACTGAGCTATGCAAATTACTTCCAGTTCAAGACTCCAAATAAAAGTTGAATTTTATTTTTTTTTAATTTTTTATTTATTTTATGATAGTCACACACAGAGAGAGAGAGAGAAAGAGGCAGAGACATAGGCAGAAACAGGCTCCATGCACCGGGAGCCCGACGTGGGATTCGATCCGGGGTCTTCAGAATCGCGCCCTGGGCCAAAGGCAGGCGCCAAACCGCTGCGCCACCCAGGGATCCCAAAAGTTGAATTTTATAACCATAATTCATAACGTGAGGAACATCAGTAAGCCATGCATCTATCCTCACTATGCACAAATGAGACTGATAAAAGTGTGTTTGGAAGCTACTTTCTAATCTATTAGCAGGAAGCTACTTTCTAATCTATTAGCAAGATGATGCATTCATCGACTCAACACTTCCCAACCATCGCATGCACAACATCATAAAACTCACCTTTCAGTATATAATCAGTTAACAAGCTTGGAACCTTTTCACTGTCCTCTTTCATGGCACGAAGAACTGTAAAACAAAGGAGACAAAGACAAGGCAACAATTTCAAATTCAGATCAAGAATCTCATTTATGTTGTAGCCTTAATTAATTACATGGCACAACCCACCCATGCAAATGACTGATAAATGGAAATACAACTGCAAAGGCTCGAGAACACACCGTAGCCAAGTAAGTCCTTATTCAGGTGAGAACATTCCTGTTACCTGACACTCATCTCCCGGATTTAAAACTTCCAAGCAGTGGAATCTGGAAAAAGGAACTGGGTCATTTACACAGAGCCTCAGGCCTGTCACCCTAAGTACTGGAAGGCGAGGGACCATCGTGAGCACTTCCATGGGCCCTGGGGAGTGGGAGAACCTCAGTCTGCAGATCTCACAAGCTGGATAAAGTCCTAGATAAATGACTAGTTAGCTACATTCTCCAAGGAACATTCTGTCAGCCTTCTTAGAAACCAAACTGTGAGAAACCAAAACAAAGAACGGACCTCACAAAGCAGCACTCAGCCAGACCGTCTGCTCCTATACTACGGAGGAACCTTAGGGAATTAGCCTCATCCCTAAAGGCAATCTTTGACAATTTTATCTCTAAGCAAAGACTAATAGGATAATCAGCTATTAGAGTGGCTAAAAATCTAAGCCACCCAGGAACACATGAATAAACACTACATGAATAAATGCTACCCTTGCACAGTGACTGCCAACTCACTGTCTCCAGAGCATCCTGAGGAAATGCCCACTCTTTTCCCCTGGACATATGACAAAACAACATGGGGTAACTGGCAAGTCAGTCCATCTGGGCCTAAACCCTGGCTTTCCCACTTCCTAGCTGTGGGGCTTTGAGCAAGTTACTTGGCCACATAGTGCACCAAGTTCCTCATGTGTAGGATGAGACTCCTCATCAGACCAGTCTCAAAGGCTTGTGATTACCAAGTTACTACTTCAGATGTGAAGGCCTTAGAATAGTGCCCCACATGGTATATATGCTATATAAGCATTAGCATGACATTATTCTAGTTCTTACTACTGCTGTGGAATTCTAGTAGCTTTTCTGAGGACGGCGACATAACCAGAAATGCTACACTCGTCTTCCCAGGGCTTTCACCGCAGCTAACATCCTAACATCTACAAGGCAGTGGCAGAGGCCCCGGTTCTCCCCCAAGTTTTTAGGAGATAACCACTTTTTACTTTCAAAGTGAAACTCATACTAACTGGGACATTCACTCACACCCGCTACACACGTTCACTCATCCAGAGATTCCAAATGGTGTTTGTCTACAAATACATCATCTAAGAATCAGCCTGACATTCTGTGGGAATTATGTGACTGGTTTGGCCAAGTATGTTTGTCCGTGATCTGAGAAGCCAAGGTCTTTCAGGAATTCCTAGCTTCTAAGGCAATAGTTATGTTCCCTTCTTGGAGGGCTACTCTGTTCAGTATTTCTGTTTCCCATCATGTTTTAGATTTGTTTTCATTTCTACATAAAATCACATGCCATAAGCTAGCATTATTAAAAAGCACAGTGGATTGGGAATTAAGAGACCCAGCCCTATAATTAACTATTCCCCTGTGTGATCTTGGACACTCCTAATGTCATGAGTTCCTCCGGAAAAATCAGAGGGCTGGCCACCCAGTTAATCTCTTCATTCTCTACTTCAGACTGGCTAGCATCACTTGATTTATCCATATTTTAATATAAAAGACTGTGAAAGTATTGTTCACCAAAGGAAGGAATAACAACTTCACATAACAGGCAGGAAGCTCCCTTGCGCTCACCCCAACCGTGCCTCCATATCTCTAAATTCTAAAACAAGTCTCATCACCAAGATCTATTCCTGTGATTTTCTCTTATTTGGTTCCCTCTTTAATCAGCAGTTATTACAAATATTTACAGTTAGAAAGAATCTAACAGGTCAGCAAATCTAGTCCCTTCAAGGAAAACAAACAGACTTACCCCAAATCACCCATATGTTATTTACAATGAGGGAAACATACCAAATATTTTTATCCTTGTTTTTCATTGTGACCAAGAGAAAGTAAGTAACATCCAAGGATATCACTGTAAATAACAGGGATAGAACCAGAATTCATGACTCATTTATGGCTATCATAAGAGATAGTCAATGGAATGTATATTTAAGTCTAACAAATTATTTCAAAATAATAACTGCCTCTTGAAGATGGCGGTATTTTTGTCGACTTTGTTCACTAAAGTCCCAGAATGCAGCCTGGCACAGAATAGGCTTTTTTAATATTTGCCAAATAATTCTTAAAATATTACTAGCAATTCAAATTCTATCTCTGACTATTACCTTGGATTCAGGGTTCTACATTCCTAAAAAAGCAGAGCATTTTAGGACATATTCTAAATCTTTCCTATTGAGTTACTGACAGTCATATTTATAGAAGATCCATGAAGCACCTTATTTATTGATGAATGATCTGTTCTTAAACATTCAAGAGAAGATGGAGAATCAAGTTACATTTTTTTTCCCTCAAAAGTTCAGCTTACAAATATTTCAAAAGGTAAGAAAAATCACAAAAAATACAAATCAACTCTGGATTTAGGGTCATGGTTGATGCTATAGCCATTTATGGTTCATTCTCAATAAATGATAATATCTATCATTTACTATCTTAAATTGACAAAACAATAACATCATCAATTAACCAACCAAAATTAGTATTTAGATTCAGCAAAAGTAAATATGGTTAACTGTTTAATTTTGTCTTTGCTCACTTTTTGTTAATATTTGAAGATCTTCAACAGATGGTGGTCCATTTTTTTTCTCATAGGGAATGACTGTTGTCAAGTACTGCCAAGTGAAAAAAAAATATGTCACTTAAATCTGAATGACCTTATCTGCACAAATTTGATAGTTACATAAGGTCTATTTTATAACATGAAACATGAGCTATTTTAATAAGGAACATGTGTATCTTACTATCTCAGCTGGAACTCCTGTTTTGCCCAATTCTATCTGCTTCATTCAAGCCTAATGTTAACATAAACATCTATTTTTTCACCTTTCAGTTATTGAAAATTTACTAAAATTAGGTCTGACGGTAATTTGTTCATTTTGTCTTATTTAACATTCTTCTTGCATATTTTCAACATACTTTGAAAATAGTAATTTCAAACTAAAAACGGAGTTGCAACAGTTCTGCATAACCAAATCATTCCCAACAGCCAAATAATTGTTTCAGACCATTTTTTTCTGATTAAACAAAATGGTCACGTGGATAACTTCACAACTTTAAAAACACATACCAGCTTCTTCCAGAAGCTAACATAGACACACATATCAATTTTAGAGGTGTATTATTATTATTATAAATTATTCAGAATGTTTAAAGGCATTAAAGGAAAAGAGAAAAGTGAAAGGAGAGAATGGCCTAGTGAATAATAAATATTTACATCTGATACTGAGACAAACGGCCTTGTTCACTACTGTAAAGGCTCACAAGTATCAGAGTTATGGCCTATAAGTATGTCCCATGAAAGCAGAATCTAAAAATTATTGTCCAGATGTTCCTATTCTGACCACTCCACCAAAAACTATATAGTTCGGTGTGGTTTGCATGTGCTCATCTGGAGATCTACGGTTTTTACTCAGAATCTTTTGAGACCCAGCCATTAGTCCTTGCCCTAAATCTCCGCTCTATTCCTAACCCTCCATGAGTGATTTCATCCTTGAGGGACCTCATAATCAAAAGACAAGGTAAAATGGTTTAACAAGAACTGGTTCCCTAGGTACAGAAAAGAAAATGAATTATTCATGTTTAAGAAACAATTCCCACCATCTTTTTGGTGTAGACTTCTCCAAGGTGACACCAAATTGTAGAACTGAATGTTTCCTTGTGAATAATACACAGGAAGCCGGAAACAAGCCCCCTCCCCGCCCTCCCCGGGCTTCACGGATAGCTGGGGGGGGGGGGGCAGCAAGCTGGCCTGTGAGAGCATCAGGAAGCTGCGCCCCCACCAGCACACTACCTGGCTACGCTCTCAGGCTTCCTGTCCCACTTGCGTGTGTAGGTCAGTGTGGAAGTTATTTTGCCATCCTGTGAGTTTGTGAGAGGTAGAGGTTCCAGAATTAAAAAAAAAAAAAAATTGTACCATCCCTTAATGGAGCTGTAAATGTCAATGTGAAGGATTATTTAATACTGATTATTACCCTTCTCAGGTAATACAGAAACTATCTTTTAGCAAAAACTCTATGCTCAAATGCTTTCTTTTGATAAACTGCCAAAAGCTACATTCTGCACACTTTCTCAATCTTCACTTAAAAGCCACATTGAAGTTTTCCTTTTGAAGTGAAAATTTCAAATTGTGAAAGGTAATTTTAAGCACACTCATTAATATAGATGTGTTTCCCCTGTTCATGATCCTCCTCAAATCATTATACAAAAATGTTAATGTAAAGTAAATTGCTACACATTTGGCCAGGTACCTATATCCACAAATAATTTTGTATAAATCACGCCGCATGCCTCACTTGACAGACAAGTGTGTTGGCTGACTACATGATGTACCTTAAAACCGCCTGAATTTCATTTAAAATGAGGTAAAATATGTTTGCGTTTGTGTGTGTGTATATATATATATTATATATACATATTACATATAATATATATATATTGACATGTTTGACCTAGAACTCTAGTCAAAAAGACACCAACACCAGCTTTCTTCCCTCTCAAAAGACATCTTGTTTCTCAAACTTTTAGAATTAGTGTAGCATTTTCTAGTTTAGTTATATATTCTATACATGCAACTCATTATGTCAATGCAATTTGTTTAAAGGTAGTGGAAAATGGAGCTCTAAATCATATAGTAAGAATGCATTTAGTCTATTGCCAATTTGAAAATCGCTTTTTCCTAAAGGGAATTGTATGCATTATTGAAAGTATAAAAATGATAGACTTTCACTTCTCTCTTTTAAGCAATAGTCTTAGTAAATTAGTAAAATTGCCAGCTTTCAGGACCTTCACTTACACAGGAAATGAAAAAGCAGAGAATGAGGAAAATAAGGATAACCCAGCACCTGTTTCTCTCCACCTGAATTTCCAAAGGTGTGGCGGAGGCCATTCTGAATGACATTTGAGATCCCTTCCATGCTGAAGCGCTAAAGGCAGCAATATACGCCCGGCCCGGAAGAAAAGGACAGAGAAAGAAGTTCAAAGACTATTAGTAAGAACGCACCACGATGATTTATGTGCCCAAGAGACAAGCCGTTAGAAAATGCCACTACTCGTTCAGATAAAGCAGACAAAATCATGCTGTTTTTAAAATGTGTTTTGCTTCCATTTCTTTGCAAATGCAAAAACAATTGCTTTTATGCTACTATATTCATGAAGACTTTCCTCATGTAGCTGATCAATTTGCTCCAATGTAAACATCCTAAATTGTACACATCTTTGTCTTATGCAAAATTAGTACATAACTTTTAAGATACCTTTTGATATTGTTTACCTACATTTTATCAAAAGTCTGAAAACTTAATACGAACAGTATGCATATTTTCTGCCTAAGTTTGCATATTTCTACCACAAGTTTGCAGAAACATTAACATAACATTTGGCAAATGAGAATGCTGTTACTTGGAGAGCTGATGACTGCTTCCCACTCACTCTTCAGGCCACCTGCCATTGCCTTGGTGCAGAAAACTCGAACTGGAAGAGCACATATGCTTCCTGGAGAGCAGAGTGGATCCCATGTGCCAGCAGGCCCCTCACACTTGCGCAGAGACTTTCCCACTCTGTTTCTAGGAAATAATTCTAGCTTCTTTCCCCCAGTAACCTCCAAGACTTCCTAGAATTCACTGTACTATAAAGGGAATATTTTTTCCCTCAACTACTTATCTTGATTTGTAACCAGTCTGCAATGTCATCAGACACAAGGAAAAGAGTCCAATGGCACCTCTCTGGCTGCTGAGTCAAAGGCCTGAGATGGATTCTTACGGTGTGACTAATTAAGGAGGAAGGCATCCTGGAAAGGGAGTTTAGTCCCCATTCACCAGATGGGTCCTCTCTCTGGATTTTTACAGAGGAAAGTTGAATCAGTAAACACATTTGAGGAGTCAATATAACGAATATTTACCGGGCCCCAAGGAACAGAAGAGGAAACCAAGGCAATGGTATCTGCTTTCAAGAAGGTATGGTTTAGCCGAGGGGTTCTCAAAGTATGGCCCAGGGACCCCTCCCAGAGGTCTCTGAAAGATTTTTAGGATCCATGAGCTCAAGATTATTTTCTCAGAAATACTAACATATGATTTAACTTTTTCACTTTCATTCTCATGATTTACAGTAAAATATTCCAAATGACAGGCTGAATGCAGAAGCCGATTTAAGACTCTAACTCTCTTGAATTAAGCCAGGTATTAACAAGATTAACAAAAATGCACAGCAATGTCATGGTTTCTCACTAAATTTTTTAAAATACAGTTATTTTTCATAAAAATATGTTTTGTATAAACAGTGAATTTCTTATTTGTGTTTTTAAATGAATTAGTAAACTTTTTAAAAATTTTATCTAATACAGTAAATATCTATCAATATGACTTAGATAAACAAAAGCCGTTTGGGGTCTTCAATGACTTTTCAGAGTATGAAGGAGTCCTAACAACAGTAAGTTGAGAAAACGCCAAGAAGTTTAGTCTTTGAAGGAGCTAAGTGCCTCTTCATCGGTCATATACTCAATGGTATTATTGAAAATCAGAGTACCAAATGTTACCATCTTTGGAGAACGTGTACAACCATGCCTCTCCTCCTGAATGGTCCCTCCCTACCCAGTCTTCCCAGAAAGCACACCATTTTGTTCTGGTAAGACTAAAACATCTGGTCCGGACACTCTGGACAAGCTTCGCTTTGCTGACAGCCTTAACTATTACCTTTGATAAAGTTTTAAAAGAAAACCTACATAAAATTGTTTTGTAGATCTCTGTCCCTTGTAGCTTTTTCACGTGTTGTCATGTAATTTGTTCACATTTTTAAGCAGATTATCAAGAGATGAACTTCTTAGGCTCTAGAGGATAGACCCATTCTTCAAATTCTATCAAATGTATTTTCTCTCAAAAGCAACAAAGAGAAAAATACTTAATTCTCTATATGACCTGACTCCATTATCTATCATGTTAAAGTTGGATACAGACAGAAATTACCAAGCTAGGTAGGTGAATAGTTTTAGCATCCCATACATCAGGAGATGAAGGTATACTTTACATTTGAACAGCATGTTCTAAAAACACTAGCTGTACCTCCCTGGTTGGAAACTTAATGACTGTCACTGCAAAAATAAAAATATGGATGCACATTCTTGGACTCCAAGGTTCCAGATGTAATTTAGGTTTCCTTATTAAATGTGCAGTTGCAGGCTCTCCTGAGCCATTGCAACTACTGGTAGCCTGACGACTCCTGAAAGACAGCTTTCAAGCAACCAGAACATCAGGCTTGGTGGCAATAAGTGGAAACACAATCGGGTGAAGCCGCAGCAACCAGGAAAACTACAAAATTAACAGCTGATCTAAGTAAATGAAGTAAAGGAACTCTCCCTATAACCTGTGCCTTCAGGCTGGTGGCAGCTGAGCCAGGAGCTGTGACCAGCAGGGAGGCAATGTGGCAGCTGGGAAGGTGATGCTGCCTCCCACTCCACTGGGGAAAGACAGCACAGGAAAATCAAAAGGTGTGCAGGAAATACAAGGAAACCAGCTAACAGAGATGTCTGAGAACATTCCTCCACCAGTGCTCCATCCCTCCCCACCCCCACACCAGAGTCACACAGCAACCATTTCTTCCCTTTGCTGGATTTTCACTCTTCCTCCTATCCGCTCTTTCTCAGGGGCAACTTTAACTTTTCAAACCCTCAAACCATTTCCTTCCTCCAGGGTTTCCTCAGACAGCTCTTCTCAGGTCACTTCTCTGATGCTGAGATCCAGGGACACTTTTCAAAGCCCTCTGAGAGCCCATAAGCTTTCCACCTGCCCCCCCCCCCCACCTCCTGGATTCCTACACAGGATCCTCTCCCTGAGTTCCCCCCTGCCCCTCTGGGTGACTCTTTCTCTGCTCAGCTCTCATGTACTGGGGTCCTCCAGGATTTTGTCCCTGTTCTTCTCATGCATGCTCTCTGAACATTCCCACCCCACCAATGTACAGCTCCATTTTCCTGAGATCAGGCAGGACAGGGCTGAGCACAGAGCCTGGCACTGAGGAAGGCTAGGGTACACATTAGCCAGCTTTACTGCAACTACCTGAGTGTCACTTGTGTGTTTGAGGCCTACTGGCCATCTGTACCTGGACATTGCTAAAACTCATCATATCCAAAAGTGAACTCATCTTCCTCTCGCCCACCAAAAATAAGTTGTTGTTTTTTTACTCCTGTTCCTCTTTCAGTATTCCATACCTTTCTCGTTCATTTATCCATTCGTTCAAAAAAACAGGATCTAAATATTATAGGTGTTAATGACTCAAAGTGAACACACCAGCCAAAGTCCCTCCTACCCTCGTGACCTGACATTATAGAAGAGGGGCAGGAAAAGTAAAACAAGTCAATGACCTAGACCGCTGCAGATAATGTGTGCCCAGCTGATAGCTATGACATGTCAAGTAAAGAAGGGATGCCTATTTTATATTGGGAGGTCAAAGAAAAGCTCTCTGAGGTGACATCTGAGCTGAAGCATGAATTCAACACCCTCCCCAATGAGCTACAAAGGACAATGGACAAAAGAGATCCTCTCAGAGAACAAAACCAAAAGCAGCCAAACTGGCCAACCCAGAAGTTCACTCTGTGGCCAGTGCACAGGGGTCCTGTTACTCTCCTCTAGTGGGATGTGGAACAGCAGCTACTGAGGATTTCCATTCTCCCCTCCTTCCCATAGCAAGTTTTCATTGTGGCAGCCCTGTTTGTGCTCCATCTTGGGTGGATGAGCCAACATGGCAGGCTGAACCTCTGCATCACAGGGGCCACATCCAGAGCTGACGGGAAAAGCAGGCATCCCCCAAAATGCCTGGCCTGAGGCTCAACAGGGTTGCTATTAACAAGACCTGCATATCTCCCTCCAGGGAGGAGGTACACATGTTCTCCCCACGCTTGCCCAAGTCAGGAATCAGTGACCCAACCCTTCATCCCCTCTTCCCTGCTCCCCAACCAATAGATCCCACCCCTTTCGTATCCCTGAAATGTAGCGTTCTCCTATCCTGACTGTCACTTCTTGGCTCGGCTCCTACCAAAGGGAGCATACCAGCCGAGTCAATTTCTCTCTAGTTGTCACCTTCCAATTATTTCTTGAAACACTGAAGTTTTCTTCCCAAAAGACAAATCTGAACAGGTAATGATCCACTTAAAACCTCGTTTTGGTTTACAATAGCCTTTGCACGATGACCAAATGCCTTAGCATGGCATACAAAGCTACCCATTTTCATGCTTCCACTTTGCTACTACTTCCTCATCCTCTTCTTGAGTTACTTTCTCTCTCGCCTTCAGCTTTCTCTCTCAACTTCTAGCCATGATGAACAACCCTCAGGGCCCCAGATGTGCCTCTCACCTCCCAATGGTTGCCCACACCACTCCCTCTGCTTGGTATGCCTGTCCCTTCTTCTTCTTGTCCTCTAGATTCAACTCACCCTTTCCGACCCCAATTCAAACTCGGGGCAATAGTGGTTTATCCACACCTCTATCATGAGATACTGCCAGGCACAGAACACACTGAGAACACAGAAGCTGCTCTGAATACTGCCATTACCACTGTATACCTAGGTCTCTCAACCTTGAGAGTACTGACATCTGGAGTCAGATAGTTTCTTTGTTGTGGGGGCAATCCTGTGCACTGTGGCATGCTGAACATCATCACTGACCTCTACTCAGAATTCTAGCACCCCTGCCCCTCCACTCATCCAGTTGTGACAGTGACAGCTGTTTTGGGACATTGCCTAAGTTGTACAGGGAGGAAAAATTGGCCTGGTTTTGAGAATCACTGCATAAAACGCACTACATGCTGTGTTAGCTGGATGCCCAGGCTATGCCCCTGCATGCTGGGATTTACTATGCATCCTTAACAGTCAGGCCTGACACTTAATTAGAGATCAATATATGCTGGTCTCATAGTAGTAAAAGAAAAGATAATCCATATAT